TGGCTCAAGTGGTAGAGCGCTAGCCTTGAGCTGAAGAGCTGAGGGACAGCGCCCAGGCCCAAAGTTCAGGCCCCACGACCAGACCCCCCCCCCAAAAAATATATATATATATATTTTTGTGTGTGTGTGTTGTCTTAAATGATCTAAGATTCTTTAGATAGATGCCTTTTAGTTAATGAACTTTGGGGAATTAGAAGGCAATGTCCTTGTTTTCAAAGTTGTGTTTTATATTTGAATTAATTATATATTTGAATAAACTTTTTATTTTCTTGTATTACAAAGGTACTCCAATCAACAAACCACCAGTTTTGGGCTATAAAGACCTTAATCTCTTCAAACTCTTTAGACTGGTTTATCATCAAGGTGGATGCAACAATGTAAGTGTTATACTGCTCTGAAATACACATGGACTAGATTAAAGGTTAGATCATCTAATGTTGCATTAATAAACACATTTTCCCCTCCAATTTTTTTTTTTTTACTAACTTTAGTTGTACAAGAGGGTTTCATTTTAACATTCCATTATGCATATAAAGTACCTTGATCAGATTCCCTCCCTCCATCATTTTCTCTTACCCTCTTTCTCCCACACATTTTCATACATAACATAGATTTTTCATGTAAAAATTATTTCCCTTTGTAAATGTTAACAAATGAAAACTTAATTTTCCAGATTGATAGTGGTGCTGTATGGAAGCAAATTTATATGGACCTTGGCATTCCGATTTTGAATTCAGCTGCTTCCTACAATGTAAAAACTGCTTATAGAAAGTAAGTGGCATAGTATTCACTTAAGAATATGTATTTAATAATTTATTAATACTTCAACCAAGTATGCATTAATCAAGGAACCTAAAAGTTACCATATTTAGGTTAGCAGTCCATGAGTAAAAGTTATTCAGACTATCTACTCTCCTTTACTCTAATTCTCAAGTGATTCTGATTTCTTTCTAAGATCAAAGTTGCAAGTGTGATTTGTAATATGCAATTAAGATTCATATCACAGCACAGTATATTTTTGGGTGAACACTTTAATTATAACAAAACTATGACAATTATGATCAGTTGTCATGTGCTCAGACTTTTCAGGAAAGTATTTTAAGTTTTGATCATATTTCAGTTTATAATCCTAATCTAGTATACCCAGAAATTAGTGACATAGGAAAAATACTTAAAAACAAATGTCTCAAGTTTCACTAGTTAACACAGTATATATGATTAATAACAATATTTGAGTTAAAAAAAGATTTCTTAAAATGAAATATTGTTTGTTTAGGTATCTATATGGTTTTGAAGAATACTGCCGTTCTGCAAATATTCAGTTCAGAACTATTCACCACCATGAACCAAAAGTAAAAGTGGAGAAAAAAGACATAGAAGAACCAATGGAAGAGGCTCTAAAAGTTGATCAAGAAATGCCTTTAATAGAAGTGAAAAGTGAGCCTGAGGAAAATATTGATACAAACAGTGAAAGCGAAAGAGAAGAGACAGAATTAAAATCTCCAAGAGTGAGTACTTAAAGAGTTTTATCTGGTTTAAGCATTATTTTAATTTAATTTTGGACATTTTCAGATATACACAAAGTACTACAGTATGTAAGTCTTGCTTATTTTCCAGTGTTTAATATAATTCAGCTCAAATAATTTAACTCTTTCTAAATATACCCACTATTTCAAGCAGAGCTTGAACATACTTCTTTTGTTTTCTGTTTGCTGGGAACAGACTCACCCTTTTCTATCAGGTGTCTAGCTAAAATGTCACTTTAATGAAGCCTAGACTTGTCACATCATGTGAAATTGTAACAAACCTTGTTTCTTTGGCACTGTCAGTCCCTAATACACTCAAGTATTCTGTTCTTTGTGGCTTTTGCCTCATTTGTACTACATCACACTCAATAAAGGCAAAGGAAAACTGCTGACATTCATTGACAGATTTCAGGTATCTAGAACAGTGCCTAGTGAATACTAAGTGGTAAGGAGTTATTGAATGAATCCTCTTTATAATGCCCATGTCCTCACCCAACATGGACACAGGTATGTGTAACTCCATAACACTATAAAGTGCTCATTGTATGTACCCTGATTGTACCTTTCAACTCTTCCCCATTATGCACATATAAGGAATTACATTTACACCATTCTGATAGTAGAATTTATTGTGTGTGTGTGCTGGTACTGGGGCTTGAACTCAGGACCTTGTGCTCTCATTTGGCTTTGCTCATAGCTGCTACTCTACCACCTGAGCCACATCTCCTGCCTCGATTTATCAAAATTTTTGAGAAAGGAATTTACCACACCATCAGAGAAGTTAGAATGTCTGTAATATGTCTTATTTTTTAGTGAAGAGATGGTGAAATCCTCTGCTTTTCTTTCAGTTGCTTAGATATCTTTTTTTTAACTGAATGTCATCTCTTAAGTAGAATCTTCTATGAGTTAATGAAATACACAGATTAATTCTTTTTAAATCCTAATGTTATTTTAAAATTATGGTAAGACACATATAAAAATTTTCATCTTAATTATTTAGAGTATGTAGCTGATTGGCATCACTTCCTATGGCTGTATAGCTGTCACTAATATCTGTCAGGTTCTAGGACTAGAATCTTTTCACCATGCAAAACTGCATGTGTGGGCCTTGGGGCTTGAATTCAAGGTCTGGTTGCTGTCCTTGAGCTTTTTCACTGATGGCTAGCACTTTATCATGTGAGCCATAGCTCCACTTCTGGCTTTTTGGTGTTCAAAAGTCTCATGGACTTTTCTTTTGATCTGGCTTTGAATCATATTCTCATATCTCAGCCTTCTGAGTAGCTAGGATTACAGATGAGAGCCACTGGTACTTGGCTCTTGAATTTTCTCCCTTTTAAACAGCAGTATTCCGTTTTTCTCTCAGTCAGCTCTCTATCACGTTTTACTTCCTATACCTATGCATCTGATATTGTATGTTCCTCATAAAGTAGAATTATACAATATTTATTCTTTGTGTCTAGCTTCAACATGTTTTCTAGATTCATCCATGTTGTAGCATTTAACAGAAGTTCCTTTGATTTTCAAAGATGACTAATATTCCATTGTATGTTATTCATTTTATGCATTGTGGACAGACTTTTTGTTTTTACCTGAAGACCTTGGCCTGTACAAGATATTTGCAATGTACTGTGTAGTATAGATGAAGCATAATTTGCCTTCCTACGATTTTTTCTAATATTTTATCAGCACAAAAATGTGCTGTGATCCTTAGGACCAGGTGACCAGGTGTGGTGATGCACTCCTGAAATCCCAGCTACTCAGGAAAAGGATAGGATCAGATTTTGAGGCCAGGCTGGGCTAAGTTAGTATGAGACCCTGTCTGAATGAATTTAAAAAACAAAACAAAAAATGAAACCTAACAACTAAAGAAATTGAGGATTAAAATACTTGCCTAACAAGGTCTTGATGGCAACCCCCCAGTATCATGAAAGTAGTGTGAAATATATAAAAACATCTTCTGAATTTAAATGATTATATAAAGCCACGCTCCTAAAAATGGGATTTCTGGAAATGTATATATACACATGTGAATGGAGTATTATTCAGTCATAAAGAAATAATACTACATGCAGGAAAAATGGTGGAACTGGTGATGTCACATTAAGTGAAATAAGCCAGGTTCACACAGACAAACAGCACCTATTTTCACTCATGTATGGAATCTAATCCTATAACACAATTAATAATATGTCACGATTTTTACATGAAAGGGTGATTATTTAGGGGAGGTAGACCAGTGAGTAGGAGGAACAGGGAAGAAGAAACCTACCAAAAGTATTTTAAAAGAAATGAGAAAAGACAGGAGAGGTGGTTAAGAAAGAATAATGAGGATGAAATAAATTTGATCAAAGGACATTATAAGCATGTTGTAAATATCACAATGAAGCCCCTCTATAAAATTAATTTATGCTAATAAAAAGTAAAATGGGATTTTTGTGGGATAAATGCAGTCTTAAACTTAAATAGTTAATAGTTGTTCTCATTCCTTTAGCTACATTATTTAAAGAGTACCTACTGTGTACAAGGACCTATCTAGAACTGAGGACACACAGTGAATAATACAAATCTCCTGCTACCGTGGAATCTTCTAGTGTTTTCTGAGAGAAATGAATTTCTGCTTCTACTTTTTTTGGGGGGCAGGGGGCGGTTGGTCATGGCGCTCTACCACTTGAGCCATAGCACCACTTCTAGCTTTATGTGGTGCTGAGGAATTGAACCCAGGGCTTCATGCATGCAAGGCAAGCGCTCTAACACTGAGCCACCTTCCCAGCCCTCTGCTTCCACTATTGAAGCAGAAATAACACATAGGAACTTGGGAAGATATTTAATTACTAAGCTATTGTATTCTATAGCTTCCTAATTTGCTGATTCAATTTTTTAAAATCCTTGCTGCATTCAAAGTACAAGAGAGGTCTGCCATTGTATACAAGTTGACTTAAAGTAGAATGGATCACCAATTTCATTGGCTGGGCTACTTGAGAGACAGAGGTAGGAGGACTGTGATCTGAGGCCAACCTGGGACAAGTTACTGCAAAACCCTATCTGAAAAACAAACTGAAAGCAAAAGGACTGAGAGTATGGCTCAAGTAGTAGTCCCGAGGTTAGGTAAAAGCTGTTAGTGATATAACAAGTTCCTACTTGCTGGTGAAATACAGAGAAAACTCTACCTTTTTGCCATTAATGCAATTAGGGTTATTTGTTTATTGTGGTATTTTATTTATTTTTGTGGTATTATGGATTTGTGTTCAGGACCTTGCGCTTGCTAATAAATGCTTTGCACTTAGCCACATCCCCAGCTGTTTTTGCTTAATCATTTTGAGTAAGGTCTCACTTTTTTTTTCATCTTTTTTTTTTCAATGTTTGAGACCAAGCATCTCTGTCTTACTATGGAATAAAGCTAGACAGAGATAGTAATGTATCATATGCTTTAAGCAGGGGGAACGACAATAGAACACTTCAGTTATATTGTATCCATACCTGCATTCACTTATTTTTATTTTTATGTATATATTTAAGGTCTCATATTTTTTCCTACACTCATCTGGACCAACCACATCTTCCTATTTATATGTCCACATTGCTAGGATTATGGGTAAGAACCACCCAACATTATTGGTTGAGATGGAGTCTTGATAATTTTTGGCTATGATTAAACCGTGATCCTCTGGAGCTTCACTTCAAGAGTAGCTGAAATTTCATGTATGAGCCACTGTGCCCACCATAAGCCCTTTTAAAATATAGTCACATACAAATACTGTAAATTGTGTCTTAACTAATGATGAACCTGGTACCAGTGGTTCATGCCTATAGTCCTAGCTACTCAGGAGGCTGAGATTTGACGATCCTGGTTTTAAGCCAGCCAGGGCAGGAAAAACTCTGAGACTCTTTATCTTCAGTTAAATACCACAAAAGCCAGAAGTGGAGCTGTGGCTCAGGTGTAGAGAACTAGCCTTGAGCACAAAAGCTCAGCGACAGCCCTGAGTTCAAGCCCCAGGACTGACACACACACAATAAAACCCACAAGTAAAAGAAATAAACAGTAGAATCAGAGACTATAGAGCTTCATGGAGGCCATAATTATGGAGATTGGTTTATTAACATTTAGATAATTTATTTAAAGTTCCCCCCTTTTTTTTTGGTCAGTCATGGGGCCTGAACTCTGGGCCTGGGCACTGGTCCCTCAGCTCTTCAGCTCAAGGTAAGCGCTCTACCACTTGAGCCACAGCACCACTTCCGGCTTTTTCTGCTTATGTAGTGCTGAGGGATCGAACCTAGGGCCTCATGCATGCAAGGCAAGTGCTCTACCACTGAGCCACCTTCCCAGCCCCTAAATTTCTTTTTATTTATATATTTTTTATTTATTTATTTATTTTTTGGGTCCAGTTGTGGGGCCTGAACTCTGGGCCTGGGCACTGTCCCTCAGCTCTTCAGCTCAAGGCTAACGCTCTACCACTTGAGCCACAGCACCACTTCCGGCTTTTTTCTTTTTGCTTATGTGGTGCTAGGGAATCGAACCCAGGGCCTCATGCATTGCAAGGCAAGCGCTCTGTCACTGAGCCACCTTCCCAGCCCTAAATTTCTTTTTATAGTTAAGAAATATTAAAAGTAGCCAGGCATAATAGTTCGTGCCTCCTGGCACTCAGGAGGCAGAGACAAGAGGTGCTTGAGTTTAAGGACAGACTGGACTACATCAAGTCTCTTTCTCAATGTACCCACTCTACTTTTCCAAGAAGAAGCCAAATAATTGTAGTATAAAGAGTGAGGATATAGCTCAGTGGTAGAGCATTTACCTAGCATCTAAGACCATGAGTTTCTTTTTATTCTGGTGCTGGAGACTGAAACCAGGGTCTCACATGTCAGAGCTACTATTGAGTTGCATCAGAAGAGGAAAAAACATTTTTTTTAGTGGTCTTTGTTTTGATCTCGTCATGTTGTGCTTGCTAGGCAAGAAGTCTCCCATTTGAGCTACATTATTAGTCATAATTTTTATTTATTTAAAATTTTTTTTTCTTTAGTTGGTTGTGGGGCTTGAACTCTGGGCTTGGGCACTGTCACTGAGCTCTTCAGCTCAAGGCAAGCACTCTTCCACTTGAGCCACAACTCCACCTCCAGTTTTCTGGTGGTTAATTGGAGATAAGACTTTCTTGCTTGGGCTGATTTTGAACTGTAATCCTCAGATCTCAGCCTCCTGAGTAGCTAGGATTATAGGCATGAGCTACCAGGGCCCACTTCTGGGCCTAATTTTATTTTTTAAGTAGTATATGCCAGGAATCATGCTAGATCTGGGCATAATTGATTTATTTTTGTTTGTCTTTTACTTTCAGAAGGTAGAAAATAGTATTTCATGAGTTGTTGTTTTCCAGAGACTTGTGTGAAGCCAGAGACCAGACTAGTCATTGGTGTGAGGGTTTAAGGGAAAGGTGTCTCTTTAGCCTTTCAGGCCTTTGTGTTAAACCTTTTATTCCTCCTTCTAGGGACGAAGGAAGATTGCTCGAGATGCAAATTCTATTAAGAAAGAAACTGAAGAAGAGAAAACAGAGGACAAATTAAAAGATGATACAGAAAATAAGGATCTAGAGGATGACTATGAAACTGCAGAGAAAAGAGAAAATGAACTACTACTGGGGAGAAAAAATACACCAAAGCAAAAAGAAAAGAAAATTAAAAAGCAAGAGGATTCTGAAGGAGACTCAGATGAAGAGGAAGAGAAGAGCCACGAGAGGTACATTATCTTGTTTGTTCTCCAGAAGCACCTGTCTGGGGTATGGCAGCACTTGTTCCTGCTTTTAGAGATTCAGGTTTGAGGGAATGTTTTCTTATTGGGACTTCCGTTCCTCTTGTCTAATGAAGGTGAGACACATTGTGAAGATGATGTGTATTGCCTTTCGGAATTGGAGAATATACTGGTCGCACCATTTTAATAGCACTTGTGCCCTAAACAGTGGCCTCAAAGAAGGCTGCGCCACCCAGTCAAAAGAAAGGTCCTGCAGTTGACAGCAGGGAAGGGAGCTGGAGAAAAATGGAGGAAGTGGACAAGAGGAAACAGCGACAGCAAAAATTCCATTTTAAAAAAGGTACAATGTGGGAAAGCTAACAAACACATGGGTGCACAGTACTAGCAGATGTTTCTGTGTGTTAGCTTTATCTAAGACATTTTTCTTTTTCAAGTTACTGTATTAGAGTAAGTGGCATGCACCCCTGATTTTAGCTTGGAAAATGCATTCTTGCCCCACATCACACCAATAAATTCCAAGTTTTTAATGTCTATTCTGTTTTCTGTTGAATGAAAACTTTTTTCCCCATGCATTAAACATGTATGGTCTGAATTGGTTTACCAATAGCCAAAGATTGAACAAGTTTAGCTAGGTCAAGATGTCTGACCGTGCTGTATAGTAGACTACTCTGTAAATGTTGTCAAATGGATGTACTAATTTTAAAATACTACTAAAAACTCTTAAATGAGCAACAACAGCATAACACACTTAACTTGAAAATAAGCTCTCCTCCATATTTAGTTTTGGATTCTTTTACTATGCAAAGCCACGTTTTTCTGAAATTTGGGTTGTGGAGCCAAATTTGGGAAAAGTGGCCTGTTACATCTAATTAGTGTCTGATAGAACTGAGAATAAAACATTGAGATAACATTAAAAAAATTATTAAATATTTAAAATTAGGAATAATTGATGAGTGGGAGAAGTAATTTGGTTCAGTATGAGTAGTTACAGGAGCTATCCCAAGGACATTTGAAGTAGGTTAGTAAAACAATGAAAGTTCTATAGTGTAATTTAATATTTAGACAAATTTAATCAAAAGTGAGTTATTCAAAAAGTAGGGCTAGTATAGTTCAAGTGCAAAAAAGCATAAAAATATTATACATGGATTATAATATGTACATAATACGAAGAATGAATCTGTATACATAAATATGGTTTAAAAGACTGTAATTGATAAGTACATTGAACAAATATTTTAAAGAAGGAATTCACAGATTTGAATATGAAGAAAAATATAGCTGGGCACCACTGGTTCACATCTACAATCCCAGCTACTCAGGAGACTGAGATCTGAGGACTGCAGTTTGAACCAGCCCACACAGACAAATCCAGTAGACTCTTATCTCCAGTTAACCCATGAAAGAACAAAACTAGAGGTGTGGCTCAAGTGGTAAAGTGCTAGTTGTGAGTGGAAAAGCTGAGCAAGAAGTTGAGGCTTTGAATTCAAGCTCCAGGACCAGTGTGCATTCATGTGTGCGAATGTGTTCACACATGTGTGCATTCATGTGTGCACACACATACAAAATTTAGTATAGAGACATTAAACACAGTCTGTATTTTCATTCTGTACCAGGAATCGAGGAAAGGGGAAAGACTTTATGGAGACCCTTCTGTTTTAAGTAATTTTTCTCCCGTGTTCTAAAATCACATCTTCAGGATAGTATCTGGAGGTATGTTTAGAGAGAAAATATCCTGTTGCAAGTAGGCTATGAAAGATTCAGTTGTGTTCTCCAGGGGCCACCAAAATAATGCCCTATGTTTACTACATATTACTTTTATCTCTTAAGGTTTAACTTTTTTTTTTAATGTTTGAATAATCTTTGATGGATTTCTCTTCTGAATCTTTGCAAGATTAATAGAGGATATTTTATGATAAAAATATTAAAAAAAACTTGTTAGACTCTCCTGTGTGAAGTTTCTTTATATTTAATTTTTGAGATAAAGAAGATGAGTAAAAAAGCAGAAAAAGCAATCAAAACAAAACATTTAAAACTTTGTTCTCTTGATGGTATCCTATGGCTTCAACAAGTGACCTCATATCCAAAATAAAACTAGTTTAAATGATATATTCCTAAGGTAGATAGCCTTGTTTATTATTACTTTGCCCATCTGAAAGACTGATTTTATTAAGAACTATTCTTAGGTAAGCTGAAAGTAGCAATAAGTAGATTTAAGATAAGTTAATTGCAGACAGTTAGAAAATATTTTCAGGGCATTTTCACATATAAGGTGGCATTTAAATATGAATCCCAAAGACTTTCGTAGAACATCTTTTTTTTTTTAATCAAATGTGATTTTTCCCCCTACATCAGCTGTGATTATTGATATGGATTGGCTTTTGGTACAGTGCACTTTTACATCAAAAAGTCCTTCAAGTAATCCATGAAAATCTTCTCCTTCTCCTCCTTCTTCTCCTTCTCCACTGATACATTATTAAGATGATACTTAGGTTGTGAATATTCTACACGTTGGATTCTTTTAGCATTTATCATATTCTTCTCATGGAGTTATTAGTAGTATTATCAATGTTGTAACTTACTGCAGGGAAGAATCTGAAAGCAAATGTGGCTCTGAAGGAGAAGACGACGATGAGGACGCGGAGCCCTGCCTAACAGGAACCAAAGTGAAAGTCAAATATGGACGGGGGAAGACACAGAAAATTTATGAAGCCAGCATTAAAAGCACTGAAATTGATGATGGAGAAATCTTGTACTTGGTACATTACTATGGATGGAATGTCAGGTAAGCCTTTTTCTTACTGCTGGTTTTTTTTTCAATAATTTTAAAATGTCAATTTAATGTTGTAAAGAACTAAAACATATGGTGCTTGCATTTATAAAGTATACCTTGTTATTAAAATATCCAAGACTTCGACATTTGCTCGGTTAAACAAGCTATGTCACTACATCTAGGCAAAGATGTATCTTTGGAGCAAGAATAGGTTGGTGTTTTACTCATTTACAGACAAGGAGAACACATAACATGGACAACTGTGGGGCAATAAATCAATGAAAGGAACAGGGATAAGCCCATATTAGAGCAACGCGGCCAATAGCTATCTTAGCTATACAAACGTATGTTTTGTTGCTTAGAAACTAACATCTATGTCAAACAATAAGATAATTCCAAGTTGGCTAATTAATAAAAAAATAATGTTGAAAAGGACTTAGATTTGAGCTTCTGTTAGATGGTTTCAGGGAAGGTTTAAGTGAGGCTTTGTTCTATACTGAATATTGTCAGGATACTGGGTAATTCTATTACTGGTTTCCTTAATAAGTCACAGATCAAGGTTAGCAATATAATTGGTAAAGAACCATATTAGACTAATATTAGGAGAAAAAGAATGTCTAGTCATTTTTGTGGTTTGAACAATTTTTCTAAGTTGTTTTATCCTTCGTTTTCATTAAGGAGTGGTGTTAGTTTTATTTTGATCCATTAAAGGACAAGATCAGACTTGCCTCATGTTGGTATTCTACTGAAATTTTTTATGTTCAAGGGAAGAAAACTCAGTCCTGCTCTGAAAGCCAGACAAACTCATAGCAACACCAAGGCCCAATTCAGGCTAATTCCTGAATTGCAAGGGCTGCTTTTCTCTTCCTCTTTTTTAAAGTCTTATGTGTCTGAAATCTTAGGTTTCCAGAGATTTACTTGAAGCCATATTGCCCCATAGTATCTATGTACTTGATATGTGTTGTGTGGTGACTCAATTTATCCCTAAATTAGGGAAAATACCATAGAGATATTATGAAATAATGAAAATACCTGTACTGATGTGTAAAGTCTGTGAGTGGGCACTTTGCCTGAGCTCTTTTTGCTTAAGGGTAGTCCTCTATTGCTTTGAACCACAGTTCCATTTCCAGTTTTCTGGTGTTTGACTGGAGACAAGAGTCTCGCAGACTTTCCTCTCCAGGCTGGCTTTGAACAGTGATCCTCAGATCTCAGCCTCCTGAGTAGTTAGGATTACAAGTGTGAGCTACCCAGCAAGTGTAAACTTTAGAATAAGGCTGTGACTTAGTAGTAAGTCCTCAATGAGTAATAACCGTTTCTTTATCTGGCATCATTTTAAAGTTTATAAAACTCATAAAATTTGTTCCTCTTCACCATATCTGGTTTAATTCAGGGAGAGAAGGCTATTTACCAACTTGGAGTCACTATATTTATGGTTGATGTACATTATAACCATCTTTTCTTAGATGCTATTTAGTTAACCATTTCTCTGATGGGTGTCTCTATCCTGCATGCTTAAGTTTCTCCTTCCCATCATCTTTCTTACCTGTGTGTATATATGTATGTGTAAATTTATATATTGTAATCTACATATTTATATATTTATAATGTGTATTTTGGGGGTAGTTTCAGAATTTAAATTCCAGGCTTTGAGCTCACTCAGCTTGCTCGCTCATAGCTGGTGCTCTATACTCTAGCCATGTCTTTAACACAGCTTTTTGCTGGTTAATTTGTAGATCTAATGTATCGTGAGTCAGTCACCTGAGTAGCTGGGATTATAGGCATTAACCATTGGTGCCTGGCATATCCTTATATTTTTGAGATTTTACTTTTGTGACTCTAATAGTTATTATATTCTCAGGTTTTCTTGCTTATTACCTACTTGATTTTTTACATAGATGATCTGTCATTGTCCTTCTGTATTCTTGAGACCTGGTATAATTCTAGTATACTCATTAAGGCTCGTGTAGTCCCTAGGGAATTTACTAGATTTCCAAAATGGGAACAGTCTGCAAATGTGAAGCAGAGTCCTGGGATCCAGTTTGGAATTTCCAGGACCACTCTTGGTTGAGAATATTAGTGCTACAAGTACTTGCATATAGTACACCACTTAAATTGGACCAGGATGGTGTGCTTCAAGTTGCTCTAGTTTAAAGCTGTGTTTCTTGGTGAACTGAGGTATCCTGAGAAGTGTTGTAATATGAAGTTACTTTTTTATTAGCCATATAACAAGCATATAACTTTGTTGCCACATTTAGATTATTCTTGATTTTGCTGTGAATCTTTATTACCAAACTAAGTTTTACAAGAGCAAGACCTATTCTTTCCCTACATCTTTATAGAGTGCCTAGTATACTTTGAGGCCCTCAATAAGGGTCCAAATAAATGAATATTTATAGATAAGCTAATAAAGTACAGATACTAAGAAGTCTGTTACAGTGCTTATACCAAGTCCTGTTTCTAAAGTTTAGCTCTTGGGTTAATCTAGGAGTATTTTTTGAGCTATGGTGTAGGTTTTATAGTACCATCAGAACTGAAACTTGCATATTGGAGCCATGTTTACAAAGCAAGGACATGGTTTCTAAATACCTGAATTTATTAACACAGTTACAGTGTAAAGTGAAGAATGCCTGTAGTTTTAAGTATTCAGATCATAAAGTTTTATGGAATTCTATAAATATTTTTATATATTATGTAACATAACTGATGTTATAGTTGTAAAAAAGTTAATTCTTTGTCTATACTTAGAGACTTCAACTGATTATATTGAAATTCAAAAGTGATATTAGTCTTTTTTTATAAGTTTTTATTCTGAGATAGTAATACTTAAGGTCACAAACACATTCTAACCTTCAGAAGGCAAATTGTCATTATTGTGATCTATAAAGTTTGTGAATTCTATGAGCTTTGATAATACAACATTTGGTGGTATGTACATTTCTTTCCTTTTGCTTAGTGTTACCTGTTCCCTCTTTCCCTCTCATTCCCTCCCTTAGCTAGTGTGAGGACCTGAACTTGCTCCACTGCACCATGGTATAAAAAAAAAAGTGGCCTGTGGTAGTGAAAAGTCTGTAGAAAAGTGAGGGAAACCAAACCCCTTTCTACACAATTAAAGAAAAAAAAGTGGCATGGTTCAGAGTAAAATTTTATTCAAAATACTAGAGGATAAGCTGTGTTTCAGTGGTTTATGCTGGTATCCTAGTTACTTAAAAGGCTGAGATTTGGAGGATCAAGATTTGAAGCCAGCCTAGGGAAGAAAAGCTCTTGAGACTCCATCCCCAAGTATCTTGCAAAAAGCCAGAAGAGGCAATATGGTTCAAGTGGTAAAAGTGCCATCCCCAAGTGTTCAAGCCCTGGCACCAGCACTATAAATGGATCAATGAATGCATGAAAGTAAAACAAAACAAAACTTGTGAGAGGCTAGAGAAAGTTTGTAGAGGAAAGAAAATGTCAAAGGAATTGATAAAACAATCTGGAACTGATCATATAGCAAATGTGAATTTACCTGACTTACTTTTATTATTCATTAAATAGAATGAATTCTAGTATAGAATTTGCTTACAAGCCTAGATCTTTTGTGGAAAACAAAGCAGTGCAAGTAGTTTTAAATCTTAAGTGTTTGCTTACCCATGTTTCTAAACCTGCTAACTTGAATTCTCTTGTTATTTCCCATGGATGGTAGGTATGAAGCATCTAGTACAGTTGCTGGTATATATTACCAGCTAACCAGTTCTGTGTCCTTTACTTTTCTTCCAACACAACAAAAAGGGACAGATTTTCATCTATCTCACTGTGATTTTTTTGTTTGGTCATTATATTTCAAATAGTGTATCATTGTGAAATTTTGAATTTTTCTTTATTTTAAGGTATGATGAATGGGTGAAGGCTGACAGGATAATTTGGCCTTTGGACAAAGGTGGACCAAAGAAAAAACAAAAGAAGAAAGCAAAAGTATGTTCAGATATTATGTATTTGGTGATAGGTATAGGAATTATTCACATTGTATTATATCGACATAATTTTTAGAGCTTTTCAACATTTACAACAAAATAGAGAGGGTACCAAGATTTCCCACATACCCTGTGCCCCATACATCTGTAGTCTATTCCATTTTCATAGCCTTCGCCATCTGACTCCCACCTTAGTGGTTCAGTTGTTACAGTTGATGAACTCACACTGATAATCAGAGTCCACAGGTTACTCAGGATGGTGTACGCTGTGAAAGTACAGCACAATTCTAGGTCTGTTGTACCTTGTGTGAGTTTGGATAAGTAGTTCATTATTAGAAAAATGTTCTATGCTCAGCCAGATCTGGATCCCACCTCTACCACACTCCACAGATTTTTGGCAACCACTGATTTTTTTTTTGGGGGGGGGGGTTGGTTGTGGGGCTTGAACTCTGGGCTTGGGCGCTATCCCTGCACTGTTCAGCTCAAGGTGAGGGCTCTACCGCTTGAGCCACAGCACCACTTCCGGTTTTCTAGTGGTTAACTGGAGATGAGTCTCACGGACGTTTCTGCCCAAGCTGGCTTTGAACCATGATCCTCAGATCTCAGTAGCTAGGATTACAGGTGTGAGCCACTGGCACTCGGCATCTGATTTCTTTTTTAATTGCCTCCATTACTTTACTTTTACAGAATGTCATATAGTTAGTCTCATATATCATTTACAATTGGCTTCTTTCACTTAGTAATATTTATTTAAGGTACTGAGGAAGTTATATTTAAATAAATATTTTCTATAATCACCTTGATTCTTATAAGATAGTTATGGGTTTGGTTTTTTTTTTTTGCCCGTCCTGGGACTTGAACTCAGATTCCGGCACTGTCCCTAAGCTTCTTTGCTCAAGGTTAGTACTCTACCATTTGAGCCACAGCGCTACTTACAGCTTTTTCTGTTTATGTAGAACTAAGGAATCGAACCCAGGGCTTCGTGCATGCTAGACAAGCAGTCTACCACTAAGCCACATTCCCAGCCCAGTTGCGATTTATTTGTTTTTTTGTTGGTGTGGGGCTTGAACTCGACCTGGGAGCTATCCCTCAGCTCTTCAGCTCAAAGTGAGTGTTCTACTACTTGAGCCACAGCACCACTTCTGGGTTCCTGGTGGTTTATTGAAGATAAGAGTCTCCTGGACTTTCCTGCTGGGGTGACTTATGTCCACAATCCTCAGATCTTAGCCCCCTGAGTAGCTAGGATTACAGGCGTGAGGCACCAGTGCCCTGCAATATTTTTTAATGTTGCAACCCAGGAACTAGAATAGTAAAAGTGTAAGACACATTATCACACTGAATCATGGAAAGGTGAAAACTAACAACCCTTCAGGTATACGTTTCAATTTCAAATGTCTAGAGCTTTTCAGAAAAGAGGTGAAGTTAAGACTATAGATTCTAGTAAGTATCTTACTAGAGAGAGTAGAAATAACTACTCTGTTGTGGGAGTGCTGACTCAGGGTTATCAGACTCCAGAATTTTTTTTCAGTATCTTTGTATTTTTAAAAATGTGAAGTTGATTTTGAAATACTAGAAGTTAATATAGAACTTTTCTGTTGACCAGTTGTTCCTTCATTCATACCTTTGAGCTCCAACATGTGCTGTGGCATTGTGCCTGGTGTTTTGTTATTATTGACATCTTTCATTTCCTTAGAGATAAGAAGAAATATGGGGGCCGAAAGGTGCCTGGGTAGTTGTACAGTTTTCTAATGTACACCTTTGGTGGAAAATAGTTGCAGTGTAGGAATCATATGAATAGTCTTACAAAAAACTATTCTTGCTTTTTCTATAACTACAAATTGAATTTACATTTAAAATAATATTTTGTTTTTTAATTATAGTTTTCTTGGGGAAGGAAAATGTTTAGTTTTTACAAGGCATTGACCCTTCTCATGCATTTTGTTGTTACCCAGAATAAAGAAGATAGTGAAAAGGACGAAAAGAAGGATGAAGAGAGGCAGAAATCCAAACGTGGACGACCTCCTTTAAAATCTGCCCTTTCATCAAACATACCTTACAGTTTATCTAAGACAACAAACAGTGAAGGAAAATCAGGTACCAGAAATGCTTAAACTTACAGCAATTTGCTAGAGATCTCACCTCTATTGTGTGGAACGGGAAGATGATCAGTTTTGAGGATCACTGACTTTTAAAAACTATATGTGTTTGTACATCACTTATCTGTGTTGATTCATTCTGAGAATCATTGTTAAAACAGCATCAAGTGTACTTAAAGATATTATGTGACAAGGGGATATAATCTTATAGGACTACTGTCACCGATGTTTTCAAGGAAAACATTGATATGTGATTAATTGAACTACCAGTTTCTGAGAGTCCTAGTAGATCATTATATTGTTTAATCTCGTATGAATTAGACTACAAATTTTAACTTGAAGCTTTCTTTTTCCTGGGCTGTGGGGCTTGAACTCGGTGCCTGGGCACTATTCCTGAGCTCTTTGCTCATTGCTCAATGCTAGTACTCTACCACTTTGAGCCACAGCTCTACTTCTGGTTTTCTGACAGTTAATTAGAGATAAGAGTCTCACAGACTTTCCTACCTGGGCTGACTCTGAACTGTGATCCTTGGATCTTAGCCTTCTGAGTAGCTAGAATTACAAGTGTGAGCCTCTAGTGCCCAGCTTGAAGCTAATTTTGTTTAGTTGTATATTTTTATTTAAATTTTAACCTAGGAATATTTTTTTCATGCAATGTATGTGAGGAATGTTCTGTTGTAATTTTTGGATGCTTAATTGGATATAAGTTTCATGGACTTTCCTGTTTGGGCTAGCTTTGAACTGAGATGCTCAGATCTTTCCCTTCTGAGTAGCTAAAGATACAGGCATTAGCCATTGGCACCTGGCAACCATGTCTCTTGTAAATTTAGTGCTGTTCACCTGAGATTTTATAACAAAGCTGAGACTGTTGTTCAGAGAGCACAAAGGCACGTTTTGTGATTAATATAGGTAAACATTTTATTCTGCTTTCACTAATTTCTCCGACTTTGATATTTTTGTGTTTTTCCATGTAATTTAAGAAATAGTTAAGTAGTTATCTTGTAAAATTTCCTTCCCTTTAAGAGAAACTTTATTCTTATTACAGATTTTCCTACAGTCCGTATGGGGTGTGTATATAGATTATAGGGTATGAACCTTCCTTTTACTGTCATTTGCTGGAAGGTTGTCATATTATTCAGATGTGAAAGATAGACTTCTTAAATGGTATGCCCTTGTGCTATGTATGACATATAGAATTATACATGTATGTATGACATATAGAATTATATTAGCCACCTTATTAAACTGCCCTATAAAAATTATAAAAGGTGAGAAATGTGGATTCTATATTCTGTTTATGTTAGAACTACAAAAGAAAACTACATATCTTATGTAAAACTATACATGCCTTTTCACTTAAAGATAGATTATTTGCCTTTATGATTTCTTTAGAATATGAACACCATATGAGCAGAACTTGGTCAGTTTGTGGGGCTTGAACTCTGTCCTGAGCTCTTCAGATCAAGGCTAGAGCTCTACCACTTGAGCCACAGTGCCACTTCTGGTTTTCTATGCTTTATTAAAGATGAGTCTCTGGGCTTTTTTGCCTGGGTTGGCTTTGAACCATGATCCTCAGATCTCAGCCTCCTGTGTAGCTAGGATTACAGACATGAGCCACTGGCACCCAGCTTTTATTCTTTTTTTTTTTAACTTTTGTATTAAAAAATTTTCTTTACAGCGTTAGAATTCTTCTTATTATTTAAAAAACTCTGACATAAAGGGAATATTTCTTTTTACCTGTAATCTGTGTGTGTGTGTGTGTATACATGTGTACACGCACGCACACACATGCTAATAGTAGGGCTTAAACACTCTAGCTTAGCTTTTTCCACTCAAGGCTGAAGCTCTACCTCTTGAGATACCTCTATTTCTGGCTTTTTTTTTTTTTTAGTTAATTAGAGGTAAGCGTCTGTTGCTTTTGGATTTGTCTCCCTGAGCTACCTTCTAACTGGAATCCTCAGAGCTCAGCCTCTGAATAGTTAGGATTACAAACTCTGGCTTTGCCTGTACTTGTCTGTTAGTAAAAAGTTTTGAAAATTCACATTGTTCATTTTACCCATCTCTTCTTTCCAGAGTAATTTTCGATGGAATATCACAAAATGGTCAACATATTTTCTAGATTTTCATTCAAATCACCTAACACATTAATTTCATATTTCAGTACTAATCCTTGACTTTGTATAAATTTTGTGGTAGCCTAAATATGATGCCAATTAAAATCACAAATAATGCTGGATGCCAGTGACTCACACTTATAATCCTGGCTACCAAAGAGGCTGAGATCTAAGGATCATAGTTTGAAGCTAGCCTAGACAGGAAAGTCTGTGAGACTTCTCTCCAATTATCCACCCCAAAAACCACAAGTGGATCTGTGGCTCAAGTGACACTAGCCTTGAACAAAATTGTTCAAGGTCAGGACCTGGCCTCAAGTTTAAACCCCAAGAACCAATCCCCTCCCCCAGACACATACACAGAAAATTAGAAGTAGCTCTTCATTCCAAATTGAGATCAAACTATGTTATATAATCTATGTCACATATTTTCATTTGAAGTTTCCCTAACATTTTGGCACAAATGTTATAACCTATTTTATATAGCTGATTCCTATAGAAATATGCAAAAGTAAATGATTAAAGATTTTGCTTATATTTGGTAGTATTTTGACAGTTAACATTTCACTGATTATTAATGTATATTTCTGCATAATATATTTTCTCTTACAGACTCTTTTTCATCTGATAGTGAAACAGAAGACCCTTTAGAAAAGAATTTGATAAATGAAGAACTTTCTCTTGATATTAAAGAAGAAATAGAAAAAAATGACAGTTTATGTGATGACAAACTAGATGAAGAACATCCAAAGATTGTACATAATTTAAAGGAAAATGATAGGATTCAAATGCAGCCCTTGGAAACCATGAAGTTAGAAGTTGCAGAGAATGAGCAAATAGTACAAATTTTTGGAAACAAAGTAGAACAAGAAGAACTTAAGAAAGAGGCAGAAAAATCTCCTAAAGGAAAGGGAAGACGAAACAAGGCAAAAGATCTTCCTTTAGAAATTATAAAGATTTCATCATTTAGCCAAGATGATGCAGGAAGTGAACCTCACATAGAAGCACATAGTCTTGAATTTTCTTCATTAGAAAGTAAGAACTTTTCTTCAGCTACAGAAGATGAAATTGACCAATATGGAAAAGAAAAAAAGTTGAAACGGAAACTCATAGGAGAGTCATCACCAGAGAAAAAAATAAGAATTGAAAATGGAACGGAGATGACAAATAATGTATCTCAAGAAAGGACCAGTGATTGTCTTGGCTCTGAGGGAGTAAATAACTTAAACTTTGAACAGCACTTTGAAACCGAAAATGAAGGAATGCCATCATTAATAGCAGAGTCAAATCAGTGCATCCAAGAACTGACTAGTGAAAAATTGGATAGTCCAGCTGAAGAAATTGTAAATACTTCACTAAAAGAAGAAGAGGATGCAATGCCCCTGATTGGGCCTGAAACCTTGGTTTGCCATGAAGTAGACTTGGATGATTTAGATGAAAAGGATAAGACCAATATGGAGGATGTAGTAGTTGAAAGCTCTGAGTCGAACTCGCTTGTTTCTATTCCACCCACTTTGCCTCCTGTAGTGCATAACTTTTCAGTAGCTTCACCTCTTACTCTTAGTCAAGATGAGTCTCGAAGTGTGAAAAGTGAGAGTGACATAACAATTGAGGTTGATAGCATTGCTGAAGAATCTCAGGAAGGCCTTTGTGAGAGGGAATCAGCAAATGGGTTTGAAGCCAGCATTGCCCCTAGCACCTGTAGTATAATTGTACAAGAAAGAGAAAGCAGAGAGAAAGGTAAGACTTTCTCAGGGGGGAAAAAGCATTAAAATTATGGAAATACGTTAATGCCAAAATTCATATTAAGAAACTTGGTTATTGCTGATTTTTGAGTGGTCTCTTTTTAAAAATGTGTATATAGAAATATAGACTAGGCAGATACATCTGAATATACATGTAAATTCATACTTACCTGTTCTTCTTTTGTTTTGTATTTTTACATTCTCTTCCTTTATTTCAGGTCAGAAAAGACCAAGTGATGGACATAGTGGATTAATGGCAAAAAAACAAAAGCGAACTCCAAAGCGAACAAGTGCTGTAACCAAAAATGAAAAGAATGGAGCAGGTTGGTGACTTTCAAATACTAACTTTCGTAATATGATAGTAATTTTAGCCGTTTAGAAGCAATAACAAATTCCCATAAAAAATGCATACTATGAATCTAATCATGACGAAGCATCCACAAATTCAGACTAAATTTAGATTCTATATAAAATAACTGGCTTGTAATTTTCAAAATCACCAAAGTCATAAGCATAAGGAAGGAGGAAATGGTCTAGATTGAAGTGACAACTAAATGTAGCACATGATTTTCACCTGGATCCTTCCTACTGCCATATTGTCTGATCAAGTGAAGATCTCAGGATTAAATGATAGCAATATAACTGTGCTAATTGCCTAGTATTTATGGCTATATTATGATTTTTTTAGGGATGTGGTAGTTTAAAAAAAATCCAGTCAAGTGCCTGTGTCTCTGGCCTATAATTCTAGCTGCTCGGGAGGCTGAGATCTGAGGATCGCCATTCAAAGCCAGCCCAGGCAGGAAAGTCCAAGAGACCATTATCTCCAATTAATCACTAGAAAACTGGAAGTGGCACTGTGGCTCAAGTGGTAGAGTGCTAGCCTTGAACTGAAGAGCTGTGGGACAGCGCCCAGGCCTAGAGTTCAAGCCCCACGACAGACAAATAATAATAATAATAATAATCCATCTGGGTGCCATTGGCTCATGCCTATAATCCTAGCTACTCAGGAGGCTGCGTTTAAAGCCAGCCCAGACTGGAAAGTCCATGAGACTTTTTTTTTTCCAACTGTCAGAAAAAGCCAGAAGTAGTGCTATGGCTCAAGTGGTAGCTAAAAGGAGCTCGAGGACAGTGGCCAGGCCCAGAGTTCAAGCCCCAAGACTAACAAAAAACAAAACAAAATTCACAACTTTATTGATACTTAATTGTTCAAGAATCAGGGCCTAATTTCCCTGAACTTAGTGATCGATTTCGAATAAAGTGGAAGTAATGGTGCATGGAGAATAAGTCATGAAATGTCCCACAAATTCCTCCTTGTTCTCCACTGGGAGCTGCCATGTTGTGAGGTACTCAATGTAGATATTCTATGAAGAGTTCATTGAGTGAAGAACTGAGGACATCCTGCCAACAGCCAGCAAGGAACTGAGGCTGTTAGAAATATAATTTGGAGAAAGTTGAATTACAGGTACAAAACCTTAGGAAAATAGGGTCTGGAGCTTAGAAGAAAGACTTTTAGAAGATAGTTGTTGCAGGATTGTAAGAGGATGGCTTTGTAATGGAAGAGTTGTAAAAATGAGAAAATAGAATTATGTGTGATACCCCTTATATGGGCTAGAAAAACCTGGGCAGAGTCAAACAGAAAGTGTGAACATGGAATGGATTTAGATTAGAAAGACACTTCAAATGCTATTGAATTTGGTCCATGGTAAGAGTTCGTGACCCTATACATCTATATATTTTTAGAAAATGAGTGTGGGCTGAATAAGACATGAAATTCCAGCACTTGATGAGTCTGTGCTGCATAGCAACCCCCTTAAAAAATGTTTGGTAGCCAGGTATTGGTGGCTCACGCCTGTAATCCTAGCTACTTAGGAGACTGAAATCTCAGGATCATGGTTCAAAGCCAATCTGGGCAGGGAAGTTCATGAGACTCTTATCTCCAGTTAATTACCAGAAAACTGGAAGTGGAGCTGTGGCTCAAAGTGGCAGAGCACTTGTCTTGAGCCAAAGAGCCCAGGCCCTGACCCTCAAGCCCTATGACCTACAAAAATGTTTATTTGGGAGTACCTATGTAAAAATTTTTGTTTCTGTGTGATTCTAAAAGAATAGTTTTTTTAAAAACCTTTTTTGGATATTTTTTATGCATTGTCTTAAACATAAATAGAACAATATAGTATATTGCTTGTTTTATATCCTTGTTTTTCATTTGACAATATATAGATACTATTTTTGTTCTAGCTCATTCTTTTTAACTACTTAAGCAAAAGATTCAGTAATTTTTTTTTTTACTCATTTTATTTTGGGGAGCATTCCAGTTTTTTTTCTCTTCTCCTGTTATAAACTGTGCATTTATGCATTTTTTCTTTATGATACCAACAAGTATAATTACTGGGTCTATTGCATTTTCATATTTGAGGTTTTTATCATTTATAATCTCTTAGTAAAATTATTATTATTATTACTACAGGACAAAGCAGTGATAGTGAAGATCTTCCTGCTGTAGATAATTCTAGTAAATGTACTCCAATGAAGCATATTACTGTATCTAAGCCACAGAAACTTGCACGATCCCCAGCAAGAATCTCGCCTAACATCAAAGATGGAGAAAAAGAAAAACACAGAGAAAAACATCCAAATTCATCCCCTAGGACATATAAGTGGAGTTTTCAACTCAGTAAGAAGCTTATAGATAATCTGAATATATATTGTAGAATCTTTTCTTTTTTTTCCTTCCTTCCTTCCTTCCTTCCTTCCTTCCTT